CATCCAATTAGCATTTTAATATAACAAACCAAATTCATTAACACAAGCTTTACTAGATGAGGAACAGTCTTAAAAGCCTTGGGTTGAGTTAATCAATGATCTCTGAACTGTATCATCCACAACTCTACCATTCTGAGTAATGGTAGCAGTGGCTTAACAAGAAACGATCTAATTTTTAAAACATGCCTGTATTGTCAGGATTCTGTCTCAAAATGGAAACCATTGGAAATTAGTTGAGAAACCCAGCTGAAGTTTTGACATTTTTTTAATTAAGCTGAAGTTTTTTTTTAAGCAGATCTTACCAGTTTGAAAAAAAACACATTGTAGACTTTTGCAAATAAAAGTTAACCTAGGAACGTATTGTAGTTGTGTTTGACAAAAGAACTCCAGGCAAAGTGGAGCTGCTAGATATATAGATATCTATCTATATATAGATATATATATGCTATAAATATATCTATATATAGCATATATATATGCTTTGTATATGCTTCATATATAATCTTTGTTAGAGCAAAAGCTACTTTCCCACTGATTTAAGAAGGACTTTCCTTAAGAGGTGTGAACTCTCCTTAAAAACTACCTCTCTCTGACCACAGACAACACAGTGTGAAGCTGGAGGAACACAGCAGGCCAGGCAGGATCAGAAGGGCAGGAAAACTGATGTTTCAGGTTGGGACCCTTCTGAAGGGGCACTTTCCTGCACCTCTGATATTGCCTGGCCTGCTGCGTTACTCCAGCTCCACACTGTTTTCTCAGACTCCAGCATCTGCAGTTCTTGCTATCTCTCTGACCAAGCTTTTTGGTTATGAATCTGAATATCTCGTGCAATTCAGTATCAAATTTTATTCAATGATATTACTCCAAATGGGATACTTATGTCATCCCAAGTTATGTTACTCCTGGGCAAGCCAGATCCCAGAATGAAACCCATCCTGACAAACAAATTGCTATCTACTCCTTAATACCATCACTTTATAGTTAATTAAAATCCAGAGAAATTTCCCTTCCCTATCAAATCTCCAGCTCTGACTTAACTGCTTTTTCCTTGGTTTCTGTCCTCTGAGCTAAGAAGCATTTTCCTTGTATATTCACATAACTGAGATCTTTGCAACATTCCCTCTAATTTTCTTACCAGCTGCACGAGTTTCCAATGCCTGTGCATGGCAATGGCTTTCGGATCTGCACATGCAGCCACGCAGCTTAGAAGGGAGAAAGCATTAAATCTTAAACCTCTTAAGTCCTTCAGTAGCCAGTGCAGTTCCAACTGAACACTCCTGTCTCGAAGTTTTCACAGACTAAAACCCTTTCTGAGGTAAATTACTGCCTTAACCACTCTGAACAAACCATTTTTTTCCTGAGAAACTATTCTTACGTGTGACTTCAGTCAGATCTCTTTCTAACTGAATCTAGAAGTTTTTAACTTTTCTTTAAAAAATACTTATTCTAGCTTCTGCTAGGCTAATGGCTTAATGAGTTTTCTTCTCATTGTAAAACCCACATTGTCAACATGCTTCAATTAACCTTCCAGGAGGCCTCCAGTTATTTACTCTGACACATTCTGGTTTAAAATCATGGTTCGGAAAAGACTGACCTAGATAATTGTGAAACCCCTCAACAAAAAAAAATCCACACCCATACATCACCAGTCTGAAGTCCAATATAAATAAATCACTTTTTTCATCATGGTTGCTGTGTAAATTGGTGCTAGTAATTTATTAGGGCATCAAATGCTGCTTCCAACATGTAAACATTACAGCTTTACAGTGTGGGCATATGAATTGTTTATTTTTATTCCTTTATTACATGAAGTTGTGACTAGAACCTTGCTTCCCAGTACTATGTTTCTGCTGAAGGAAGTATTTTCTTCATTCTTCTTTGAATGTAGGCAACATGTGCAAAACTGTATTTATCACTCAACCTTAATTACCCTGAAACTGTTGCGTTAACCATGATTGCAGGATTAGAATCATATGGATAGCAGGTTCCTTTCTCTGAATGTTGTTATACGTAATCTACAAGTCAGAGACAGGCTGTTTGGCTTAATCAGTTTATTCTCCAAAGGCAAGCTGTAATTGAACTCCTTTCCAACCAATTTGTTAAAGTTGGTATGGACTGATTAATTTAATCTGAAAAGTTTTGTTTTTATTCCCATCTCAATGGTCAACAGAATTGGAAAGGTCACCTGTGACAAGCTTCATCAAATGCTCTTCCAGGTTACAACTTAAATTTTCTGATATTTTTGCCTCGTACACCTCTAATCAAATTTTGGACTGCATTGCCAATTAACTAGATAAAAAGTGAGTTTATGGATATGGAAGGTGTTGCTGTAGAATTGTAAAAGCATAGTTGTATTATATGCAATAATAATTTTATATTACAAGCAATATAATTGGGCATAGTTTAGCCAAAATTGATAAAGCAGTATAAAAGTACTATTGTTGTAAACAAAGATTTAGCACACATTTAGTGTTGGACTAGCTTCACTATCCCAAGGAAATGGGGAAATGGCTCCTTTCGGCTGTAGCTTCCTTTTCTAAGATATACATGTTTAATGTTTTCTTAAGAGGCATTATGAGATGCAGCAGTCTCATTTTTTTTCACTTCAACAGTGGAAAACTAAAATTACCCAATTCTGTGGTTTGCAACTCTCTGATTAGAGAGGCCATGACTACAAGAAATATTCATGAAATGCAGTTTCTAGGAACAAACATGGGGTATGTATCCCCTCAAACCTGTTCAGCCATTCAGTTGTAATACAGATGATCTGCAGTCTTACCCATCTGGTCCAAATACCCCAATATCCTTATCAAATACAAAGACTTTTTAGGAAAAGGTGGGAAGTTTTAACCTAGTTCTATCTTAAAGTTGTGCACCTTTGTTCTAAATTTCCTACCAGAGAAAATTATTCTCTGTATTCTATGGAATCATTATCTTTTAAAACAATGCAATAATATCACCCATAAAACTTCGAACTGCATGGGAATACAAGTTTACTTAACCTATCCTTAATGTAACTTTTTGATACCTTGTATTATTCTATTAAATTTGTACTCTAGCCCTGTCAAAAACACAAGCTTATGCATAACTCCATTGCTATATCCAAACTGTATCAAAATCACTTTTATCTATCACCTCGGTGCTTGCTAACCTACACTGATTTAATGTCCTCAAGATTAAATTTCTTAATTCTCTCCATGGCCTCTTACCCCTCTATTTACATTTCTAAGTTCATCCAGCTCTGCCACCCTGTGATGTGTGTGTGTATCTCCCCTTCTTTCACCAGTGGTGCTGTGCTTTTAGCTATCTAGCCTTATGCTCCAGAATTCCATCCTGAAATATGTCTTTTCTTTGGACACTTAGGCCAAATTATTGCCCGATTACATTTTTTGCACATTCAGTATCAATCTTCATATTTGTGCACTTACTCTTAGTGATTTCTGTACTGTATACCCAAATCCTCTTTACTCTTTCACATTTCTAGTCTTTCACACTGAAAAGTATTTGGATTGGTTAATCCTGAATCCAGTGGATGACCTCATCCTTAATTCTATCTGCCATTATTTTACCCAATCATATGATTTGTCTGTCCTCAAATACTGCCGAGAGTCATCTATGCCTCCAGTCAATTGTCATTTGTAAATCTAAATTTAAAAAACTCCTATAGAACATGCCAACAACTAGAAAATAAATCCTTTATTTCTATCATCTACCTTTCAGGATACCTGCAATTCAGTTTAATTTTACTTAAGCTCAATCTTCTGTGTAGAACTTGATCAAATGCCTCCTGAAAGTCCACACAGACAACATCCAGAGACATTTTCCAATGTAGCATATTAAAGACTTCCTCAAAATATTTAGCGAGATTATTAAGAGATCTAGGATCTCTTTGATCAGCTCATACTTGTTCAAGTGTTCAGTCTGTCCTCAATGATAGATTCCAGTTACATTCCTCATAACTGTCATTAAAGTATGTGATTTCCTAGTTTCTTCTTTATTCTCAAATAAACCAAGTGACATTTCCAATCCAAAAGGCACAAACACGAGAACTTTGGAAAATTGATTCTATATCCCAAGATTGAATCTATCAGTTCCTGGAAATTTATTGATCTGAAGTTGCATTCTTCTCTTCAGTTTATTTATATATACTTAAATTAGAATGGTGACATCACATTACAATCCAGTAATAAAAATTGGTACCCTACCATGAAATCACATTAATCAAAATTCATTCAAGACACTATCACTACACGCACTCTGACTTTTATCATTGTCTCTCTCTGGTGTGTATCTCACTCTGACCTTCTTTCTCTTATCTCTCCTCTGATGTGCCCCTCACTCTCTGACTATTATCACTGACGTGTATTTGCTAGGTTTAAGGAGAGAGGGTAAATGTTTAAAGGTGATCAGTGAGGCAATTTTTTTTTTTTAAAAAAACACAGGATGGTAGGAGCAAATACAGTAACAACATTCAACAGGCATTTAGACAGACACGTAAACCAGCAGGGAATAGAGGGATACAGACCACATGCAAGCAGATGTGATTAGTTTAGATTGGCATTATGGTTGGCACAGAAGTGGTGGGCTGAAGTGCCTGTACCGATGCCATACTGTTCTAAGTTATATTACCCCATTCTTCCTGCCCCAAAATTGATTTTCCATATACTTAACATACAAGTTGGCCCCCCTCTCCAACCATGACATGCTAAACTCACATTAGTAGCACTCAGCCTTAAATGTTTCATCTGTTTCATCCCACAAATGCACATTTTTTTTACTGGTACTCTTTCCCTGGGCACAAGGGATCAACCAGACAATATAGGCTGTGTTGCAAAGATAGATAGAAGTTTAAGCCATGCCTGCTGTATGTTAGATGCCAATGACATTTGAAAATAACTACCATCCACAGTTCAATTATACTTTGGGCATACAAGTCAAATCCTCAATTTTGAAGCTTCAAGGTAGACATACACCCCAAAATCTACAATAACAACAAATGATTAAGTGCATACCATTTAATTCCTTTATTAAATAAATTACACAAAGTTTGGAAATTGCAGATGCTGTTTGGTTTCAGCACAAAATTTATACAATTACAAAGGTTTACCTCATTCATTTATTTTTAGGTTCCCTTATACCATTATTCCTTACAGTTCACCCTCTTCGTTTATGTGAAAACATATACAAAGTATTTGTTTAACTCTCCCAGTCTGCTGGATTTCCACTTTATGTCTGTGCAAGCTATTTCTTTTAGCTTGATGTCATCTTTCTCTTCAGTTTACTGGTTTGACTCTATCATCATATGATACAGTTGGATGCATTATTTGATTATAGATATACAGATTGGACTGTACTTTACACTATTGTAGGCTTCACCATGACAGGTCTTAAAGGTGCTGTTTATTCACAATGATTCTTGTCATCAGGAAACCCATTGGATTAGTAAATTAGAGGACCGATCTGGTGACTGTTATACAAAAGATACTTAGGACATCACATTTTACACCAGGAACAAAATTTGGTATCTAAACACAGTCGACATAGATAGTTGGACCGAGGGTCTGTTTCCATGCTGTATGACCCTATAATAATGACTGACTAGATGGCTTATCACTAATAGTCTATTTCATTCCTTTATTAGCTAAGTTACTGAGAGTTTTTGAAAGTTGTATATTTTATTCAGTTTCAGCATTTAAAATTTACACAAAAATACTTTGGTAACTTTTCTTTTAAAAAAAGTCATAGAATTCATGGATTAAGCAGGCTAAAGAGATACAATTAGATAATCTGCTAACTATTGTTGGCATTAATAAAAGAGAAGATCAACAATGTAAAAGACAATGAGTGATTCCAGGTCACATGGCAATATAACAATGGACGGAGGCACTTTTAGGTCACATGATTTAAATACAAAAGGTCATAGGCTAAATATTCAGTTATTAATTGCCCAAGACTGAACTTCACCTTTCCCAAAAATGGTGAAAAACACAGCACCAAATACATCAATTGCAGCAGCAATGTAGAATACAGTTCGCCATTGTGCAATTGTATGCTGTAAAGTAAAAGAGAAAAACAAAAATGAACACTAATTCTGATTAGAAAAACATCTGCAGATTGTATTAAATTTAAAATGTACAGGCAAATCCACTTGTCATTAGCAATATTAGCTTGTGAGAAGACAGCAGTATAATCCTTATTATATGCTAAATATATTATAAACTAACATTTTGTGAACAGTTTAATTTCATCAGCTTGTGATTTCCTTAAATACAAAGGAAATCTCACTGGATAGTCTTGCATATTGTCAAATTAGAAATATATTTCTTTATGATAAATCAGTGCTTTATTCAGTATAGTTCTACTTAATGCACAAAAGTGATTTTCTAGCTCACAGTGACTCAGCATTTCACACTGGTTAATTACTTCGACAACATTTTATGACAATTTCAACGAGAACCAAATTCTAAAATTATGTTAAAAATATTTATTATTTGAAAGGGCATGTTATGACTTGTGATTACAGGTAAGGATGTGACGTTTTGTTTGGCCTGTAATTCCTTTGAAACAACTGTTTATTTCATTGTTTTCAAACACACAGATACAGGCCAAAATAGTTTGATGTGAAAGTTGACATGCAAGGTTTCTCACTTGGTAAACTTACATGGAAATTTATACTTACACGGTACGTTAAGATTTTGGCAATAACTGGTCCTACCATTCCTGGTATAGTAGCAAATGTATTTGTAATTCCAAGTAAAATTCCTGCGTACCTGGTAATTATTAAGTATCAAATTCAATTTCTATAATAAACTTGCATACAAAAGCTACAAAAGTTTAAGATTTCATGCAGTCCACCAAAACATTATTCAATGATATACTTGATGATTGGGCGACACAGACTCCTGCATCAATTTGGTTCTGTGGCTCAACCAACAACAAACTCTGGACTGGATAATGGCAGTGAACACTGGAGCACTAATCACAATGTCCAACATTTTAGGAGAAATGGGACTTGTGTAAATCTTATACTTCAGGGAGTTCCTAATCTATGTCATGCTGAACAGTGAACAACTATGTGACGGCTCTTTGGTCATCCTATAGAGAGGACAGAGAGAGGGAGCAGCTTGGGGAACTATAAATAAACTATAAACACAAGCAGTCTATCCTTATCCCAAACTCTATCACAGAAATCAGAATAAAGTCCACTGTCCTGCATCTTCATCTGCCTCAAGTATTTATTCAATTTTCTTTATAAATGTGTAATTGTCTGTCCCTTAATTGCCCTCCCTCCCTCCCCCGAACCCACCTCCCCCACTCCTCCCTTTCCCTGGAAATGGAGTGCATAAAGAAGCTTGAGATTAAAAAGATTCCAAAATACAAACTGTACGATGTCTCAAGTTGAATTTTAAGACAACTATATTGAAAAGTTACCGTATAATCTATTTTGGGCAGCATTTTAGCAACAGCCAAAGGTAGGGAAAAAACAGTTGTTGTGTATTTTGTCAAAAATCCTAGAAATTTCAAAAGCTTTAGGTTTGGTGCTTCTGTTGAAAATGGATAGGAGATTTTTCAATAGCTCGTTGAAGTGGGTGGTTGGTATAGAGGTGCTGTATTGGATGAAAAACTGCCATGTTTGAGACATTTTGGAAATATCAAAGACATTAACGAGAGCCTAGTGGCTATATTTTCTACAGGATGTGTACCTTCTAAATTGGTATGATCACCAACCAGATCCTCTGATCCTTGTGTGCAAATATGTATCTTCCTGTTAATGACCAACACCAGCCTAATGATCTCCGAGCCTGTTTCAGGTAAAGTGGGTGAAAATGGTAAAGACAAAAAGGCCTAAAAGTTTTGTGATATCAGGTATTATGTAGTTACAGTTTATGTCTGTAATGAAATACAAATGTGTTTGGGCAATTTCAAATGGGTTAGTTATAAACTAAGTGGGTAGAGATATTAGTTTTCCCTTTCATTTCCTTTCTATTACCATCATAACTGTGGAACAATGCATTCATAATAAAATCACGACAGTGACCTCAGTATTTTTGCATTCAATGCAGTGAGTGCAAGTATTACAGAATGAAGTTCTTATAATAACAGAACATGACCTTGCTGGTTTATGTACATGCAAAGTAAAGCAAAAGACTATGGAAAATTGTTTGCAAAGCATTGCCAATGTGACCCTATTTTAACTCACCATCAACTTTAAGAGGAATTTAGGATGGGAAGCAAAGGTTGGCTTGCCAACAAAAATATGGGATGTGGCTAAGAAACTTGTACATTAAAAACAATATTTCTTAAACAAACATAACCTCCCATTGCCAGCAAAAAAAACAATAAAGTGGTACAGTAACATTTGATATGTTACTATAGATTAACACATGCAATACATAATTTAAATTTGAAAATGTGTATTATAATTAGTAAAAACTTTTATGTACTCATGCAGGTTTCAACCAAACCCTATACAATTCCATGGTGATCGAAGTAGTGAAGCCCTTCCTCTGCCACAACCATATAAACTCCTCTACCCAACCAGCTTCCCCCCACCACCGCACATGCTCACTCATGCCCTCTCTCACATCCTATCAGCTGCATAGATTTACTTATATGCTCTCTCTCATATCCCGACTCAACATTTTTCTTCTACTCAACAAACATGAGCCTTCTGTTGGTGTTTTCATAGATAGTTGAACAAGAGTCTGATTTAACCTTAATACCAACAAATCAGGAACAAAAACAGAAGTTGCTGGAAATTCAGCAGGTCTGACAGCATCTGTGAAGAAAAAAATCAGAGTTAACGTTTCGGGTCCGGTGACCCTTCATCAGTTCCGAGGAAGGGTGACCGGACCAGAAATGTTAACTCTGGTTTTTTCTTCACAGATGCTGCCAGACCGACTGAGCTTCCAGTAACTTCTGTTTTTGTTCCTGATTTACAGCATCCGCGGTTCTTTCAGTTTTTACCAACAAATCTGACATTGCTTCTGTATTAAAAGTAGAATAAATACAATTAAATGACTGAAAAGATGGCTGCTGCATCATATGATTTATTGCACTGCATTCCATTGAATGATTGATCATTACAGTTGCAAGATTTGCTAATAAGACCATAAGATACAGGAGCATAATTAGGCCATTCAGCTCATTGAGAGTGTTCCACCATTCGATCATGGCTGCTATGTTTCTTAATCCCATTCTCCTGCTTTCTCCCTCTAATCCTTGGTCCTCTTATGAATAAAACACCTATCTCTGTCTTAGATACACTCAATGACTTGGCCTCCAAAGACTTCTGCAGCAATGAGTTTCAAAGATTCACCACCCTCTGGCTGAAGAAATTCCTTCTCATCTCAGTTCTAAAGGGTCGACCTTCATTCTGAGGCTGTGCCCTCAGGACTTATGGTTGAATTTAGAATACAGATGGAGAGTGTGAAGATAAAATCCAATACAAGGGTCCTGTGCTGGAACAAGGGGAACTACAATAGAATGAGGGAGGACTTGGCTAAAGTAAACTGGATACAAAGATATTATGGTGGGACAGTTGACGAGCAGTGGAGGACTTTCAAAGCAATCTTTCAAAGTGCTCAGCAAAAGTATATTCCAATGAAAAGGAAGGACTGTAAGAAAAGGGGTAATCTGCCATGGGTGTCTAAAGAAATAAGGGAGGCTATCAAATTGAAAGAGAAGGCATACAAAGTGGCCAAAAACAGCATGCAAATGGAAGATTGGGAAAACTTTAAAGGTCAACAGAAAGCCACAAAAAGAGCTAAAAGGAAAAGTAAGATAGAACATGAGAAAAAACTAGCACAGAATATAAAGACAGATAGGAAAAGTTTCTATAAATATATAAAACGAAAAAGAGTGGCTAAAGTAAACGTTGGCCCTTTAGAGCATGAGAAGGGGAATTTAGTTATGGGATATGATGAAATGGCCGAGGCATTGAACAGGTATTTTGTATCGGTCTTCACAGTGGAGGACACTAATAACATGCCAGTAATAGACAAAGAGACGAAGGTAGGTGAGGACCTGGAAACAATCATAATTACGGAAGAGGTAGTGTTGGGCAAGCTAATGGAGCTAAGGATTGATAAGTCTCCTGGCCCTGATGGAATGCATCCCAGGGTACTAAAAGAGATGGCGGGAGAAATAGCAGGTGCACTGGCAGTAATTTTCCAAAATTCGCTGGACTCTGGGGCAGTCCCAGCAGATTGGAAAACAGCAAATGTGACGCCACTGTTTAAAAAGGGAAGTAGACAAAAGATGGGGAATTATAGACCAGTTAGCTTAACCTCTGTAGTGGGGAAGATGCTTGAGTCTATTATCAAGGAACAAATAGCAAGGCATCTTGATAGAAATTGTCCCGTTGGGCAGACGCAGCATGGGTTCATGAAGGGCAGGCCATGCTTGACAAATCTTTTGGAATTCTATGAAGACATTACGAGCAAGGTGGACAATGGGGACCCAGTGGATGTGGTGTACCTAGACTTCCAAAAGGCCTTTGACAAGGTGCCGCACAAGAGGCTACTGCATAAGATAAGGATGCATGGCATTAAGGGTAAAGTATTAGCATGGTTAGAGGATTGGTTGACTAACAGGAAGCAAAGAGTGGGGATAAACGAGTGCTATTCTAGCTGGCAGTCAGTGACTAGTGGTGTGCCTCAGGAATTGGTGTTGGGACCGCAATTATTTACAATTTATATAGATGACTTGGAGCTGGGGACCACGTGTAGGGCGTCAAAGTTTGCAGATGACACTAAGATGAGTGGCAAAGCAAAGTGTGCAGAGGACTATGAAACTTTGCAGAGGAACGTAGATACATTGAGTGAGTGGGCAAAGGTCTGGCAGATGGAATACAATGTAAATAAATGTGAAGTCATACATTTTGGTCGGAGTAATAGTAAAAAGGATTATTACTTGAATGGTAAAAAGTTGCAGCATGCTGCTATGCAGAGGGACCTGGGTGTTCTTGTGCATGAATCACAGAAGGTAGGTCTGCAGGTACAACAAGTAATTAGGAAGGCAAATGGAATTTTGTCCTTCATTGCTAAAGGGATTGAAATAAAAAGCAGAGAGGTTATGTTGCAGCTGTACAAGGTGCTGATGAGGCCACACCTAGAGTACTGTGTGCAGTTTTGGTCTCCTTACTTGAGAAACGATGTACTGGCACTGGAGGGGGTGCAAAGGAGGTCCACTAGGTTGATTCCAGAGTTGAGGGGGTTGGCTTATGAGGAGAGACTGAGTAGATTGGGATTATATTCATTGGAATTCAGAAGATTGAGGGGGGATCTTATAGAAACAAATAAAATTATGAAGGGAATAGATAAGATAGAAGTAGAGAGGATGTTCCCACTAGCAGATGAAGCTAGGATAAGAGGGCATAGCCTCAAGATTAGAGGGAGCAGATTTAGGACTGAACTGAGAAGGAATTTCTTCACCCAGAGGGTTGTTAATCTATGGAATTCCTTGCCCAGTGAAGTAGTTGATGCTATGTCAGTAAACGCTTTTAAAAAAAAAGGTAGATTTTTTTTGAACAATAAAGGAATTAAGGGATACGGTGAGAACGTGGGTAAGTGGATCTGAGTCCACGAAAAGATCAGCCATGATCTTATTGAATGGCGGAGCAGGCTCGAAGGGCCAGACGGCCTACTCCTGCTCCTAGTTCTTGTGTTCTTAATCTTTCCTGTTAGCGGAAACATCTTCTCCATGTCCACTTTATGTAGGCCTCTCAGTTTTCTATAAAGTTTTAATGAGATCCCACTTATCCTTTTGAACTGTATTTCAGTCCACAACTGCTCATATGACAAGTCCTTTATCCCAGGATCATTTTTATAAACGTCCTCTGGACTCCCTCCAATGCCAGCACATCCTTCCTTAGATACAAAGCTCAGAACATCTCAATATTCCAAATACGGTCTCACCAGAAAGTTATACAACCTCAGCAGTACATCTCTGCTCTTGAATTTGAGCCCTCTTGAAACGAATGCTAACAATGCATTTGCTTTCCTAACTGCATGTTAACATTAAGAGAATCCTGAACTAGGACTGTCCCTTTGTACTTCAGATTTCTAAAGCCTTTCCCAATTCAGAAAATAACCTACACCTCTATTCTTCCTACCAAAGTGCATAACCTCACACTTCCCCACATTGCATTCCATTTCTACTTCTTTTCCCACTTTCCTAGCCTGTCCAAGTCTTTCTGCAGCCTCCCTGCTTCTTCAACACTACCTGTCCCTCCACACATCTTTGTGACATCTGCAAACTTCACAACAATGCCCTCAGCTCCTTCAAGAAGATCATTAATGTATAACATGAATAGTGAATAAAGATAAAAGAAAATAAAGTGGAGTGATTCACTCAGGTAACTCATGCGCATGTTCAAAATGGGAGAGAAAGCAGCATATAAATTTACTTTTAGGAGATTTCTTCATAATAACGGAGAGATTAAAAAATGTGAAAGATTAGTTTGCTTTTCAGCAGAATAATGATAACACAGGTCAATAGTTTCAAATAGTTCACTTACGATGGGGCAATGTCCAAATGATTAATGCTGAACCCAGACATGCTGAAACCACCCAACGCAGAAGATATTGTTAGAAATAGCACAGCCACTGTATAGTTGCACCCCACATATCCTGTAGCAACCAGAAAAATTGCAGGTCCGACCATACCTAAAGCAAACAAAATATTATTACTGTAATTATTAAAATTAAGGAAGTGTAACACTTGCTTTACAGATACCAGGTTTGTTGGCAGACTCATTTGAAATTTGGGGTTGTTGGCTTGCTCACCAGCTGGCTGGTTATTGTAGTTGTACAATAACCAGCCAGCTCAGCGAGCAAGCCAACAACTTCATCAACAATCCGAGCTACAAATCTTCGCAAGAACCTTAATCATTTGGGATTCTTCCAGATAAGGAATTAACCAATGGTGTATGGTGGTAGGTGTACTTAGGTATAGGTTTCTAACTCTGCATGTGGATGTAGGTAGAATGAAGGCAGCCAAAGGAGATACAAACAGCAACAGATCTGATTGTTAATTAATATCGATACCTAGCAGATTCCAATTATACTCTGGACTCAATCCTTTAAAAATGCTCTGAGTATTACATGGTCATTTTGATCTTTACCTTGTAGCATATGACATACATGGCCAAATAATTGTCATTGGTTAGAACTCAAAACAATAGAAGAACTTTCTTCAAACCATGTGAGGTGTCCAACAGTAAGCTGTATTGAGATAGCTTTTTGGCAAAAGAACAAGAAAATGGCTGCACACAGGGAACGCTTCCACTAACATAGGTGCAGTATTGAAGAACATAGGGGTCAGGTATGACTGTTTGTCAAAACCCCTTACATGAAGGGTCGATACAGTGTGGAGCTGGAGGAACACAGGTCAGGTCAGGTCAGGCAGCATCAAGGAAGTAGGATAGTTGACACTTCGGGCCTAGATCCTTCATCAGGACTGAAGAAGGGTCAAGGCCCAAAACATTGACTCTGCTGCTCCTCTGATGCTGCCTGACCTGTTGGGTTCCTCCAGCTCAACACTGTATCAACTCTGATTCCAGCATCTGGAATTCTTGCTATCTCCCAAACATGAAGGTCTTGATTTAGTTATATAGTTATAGACCTTATTGGATTGACAAGGAAGCTGGCGTTAGCTGAATTGCTTCAGTTATTCCATTACACTGAAGGCTGACGGCTTGTGTAAGAGTTCATTTCCTATTATAATGAAAGCTGCTAGAAAGCATTACCTTGAGGTTAAGCATACATTCTATGCTCTCTATCCACATGGATTTAAATATCTCAATTAAATCAGTCGTTCTCAAACTGACCCTCGGGAGCCTGTGGAGACATTCCAGGAGATCTGTGAAATATTAAAATATTTGCCTAACAGGGTTGACATTAGGGGTTAGGGACCACCAGGATGTCATAATTAGGAGCCAGTGAATGAATGCTGATTTAGTGTAAATCAGAAGTTGGGTGCAGAGTGCAACTGCAATGTGTGCAGCATTAAAAAGGCAGGTTCTTTCATCTACGAGGACATGGAAAGAGAACTGACATAAAAACAGAAATTGCTGGAGAAACTCAGCAGATCTAGCAGCATCTGCAGAGAGAAAGCAGTTTCAACATTTTGGTCCAGTGACCCCAGAAGCAAAACTCATCTTCCAGGTGAATCAGCAATTTACCTGCACTTTACTCCACCTAATCTACTGCATTTGCTGCTCACAGCGTGGTCTCCGCTACAATGGGGAGAAGAAACAGAGACTGGACAACTATTTTGTGGAACATCCATATTCTGTCTGCAAAAATGACCCTGAGCTTCCAGTTGTCTGCCACTTTAACACATCACCATATTCCCTGGTCCACATTTCTGTCGTGGGCCCACTGCAGTGTCCCAGTGAGGCTCAGCGCAAGCTGGAAGAACAGCATCTCATTTGGGGACCTTGCAAGCTTCAGGATTCAATATTGAGTTCAATAATTTTAGGGCCTGAACACCTCATTCCATATTCTTTACCCCAACTCCACACCATGGTCCTGCCATCACATGGCCTACTTTCATCACAGCCAATCCATTTTCACTCTGTAGTGGTCCCTATTATCAGTTTTCCTTTCTCTCCAGCTCACCATTATCCATCCTTTTGTCTGCCCAACGGCTGGTCTCTCTCCAGGTGGGCTCCATCTCCACCTAGCGTTACTCTTTACTCCCACCCCTTACTCCATCTTCTGCATATATACCACTTTTTCCGAGCAACAATCAGTTCTGAAAAATGGTCAGTGGAACCAAAATGTAGACTCTGCTCTCTCTCCACTGATGCTGCCAGACCAGCTCAGTTTCTCCAGCAATTTCTGTTTTTGTTTCAGATTTCCAGCACCCACAGTTACTTTTTTTGTTTATGCATACAGGAATGCTGAGAATGGCAAAGATCTCTAGGTAGACCTACAATTAGCTAATAATGGACACCATGTGAGTTAAGACTTGTTTGAGAGGATATCTTTTAAATAAAGTACTACATAGTTAAACACTGGAAAGGATATCAAAAATACATGTTTAAACAGGATGCCATTTTTCTTAATTTACGTAGTGATTTTCAATCCATTCAAATAAATAACTTACAAACAAAGAAGTTTGAGAGTCATTGAATTAGAAATCCCTCAGCCTTCTAAATTTAAAAGGAATACAAGCCAAAACTATATTAACCATCCTAGAGCTAGATAGAAACATAGAAAATAGGAGGGGTAGGCCATTTGACTCTTCAAGCCTATACCACCACAGAATATGGTCATGGATAAACATCTGACTCAGCACCCACTTTCTCCTAAATCCACTTTGATGTCTTTAGCCTCAAGAACTATATCTAACACCTCTTGAAAACATTCAATGTTTGGCATCATTGCTTTCAGTGACAGAGAATTCCACTGGCTCATCACTCTCTGGGTGACAAAATTTCTCATCTTAATCCTAAATGGCCTACCCTATATGCTTTGATCCCCAGCTCTGGACACTCCAGTGATTGGGAACATCCTTCCTGCATTTACTCTATCTACTCTATAAAAGTCCTGTTAGAATTTTATAGGTTTCTAGGAGATTCCCACCACATTCTTCTAAACTCCAGTGAATACAATCCTAACCAATCCAGTCTCTCTTCAGTCCTACCATCCCAGGAATCAGTCTGGTAAACCGATGTTGCACTCCCTTCATAGCAAGAACAGCCTTCCTCAGATAAGGAGGCCAAACCTGCATACAATACTCCAAATGAGATCTCACCAAGACCTTGTATAATTGCAGCGAGGTATCCCCGCTTGAATCCTCTTGCTGTGAAGGCCATTATACCATTTGTCTTCTTCAACGCCTGTTGCGCCTGCATGCGTACTTTCTGTGACTGGTGTACGAGGACATCCATTGTGCACCTTCCTCTTTCTGAATCTATCACCATCTGCCTCCTTTGTTTGCTACTGAAGTGGATAACCTCATATGTGCATTTGCCCACTCACTCAACTTGTCCAAGTTCAACCCCTAAAACTTTTATCTTACACATCTGTTTGCAACCATATGATATCAATCATGCAAAATGTTTACTAGATTCTCCACATCTGTTAATCCAAGCCTTCCCAAATTACAACTGAATTGCTGCAAACTAATTTATATTGTTTATTTTAAAAGTCTTCTTAAGTACAGGGGGTTCTCCTATAACGTGTGTTCCGGCAACGTGAATAGGCTATAATGTAACTGACAAATAGGGGAACGCTTTTGTAAAATGCAAACTTGTATTGGCTATAACACAGTTCCATTCAGTATGGATTGTATACCATTAACCTCAAATATAATATCGCAGAGAACAACCATCTTATTAGGAAAATGTGTGAAGTCTTAGTTTGAAGAGTTTATGCTGAACACATTAAATGCATCAGTATTATTTAAAAAATACAGCTCATTTAAATAGAAGAATCGACTCCAATGCTAAATTGATGGTAAAAAATGAAGTATAGTTTGAAATGAGTGACGTTAAAACGTGCACCCATGCGTAGTATTTTTGTCTAGATTTTGTTACATATTAAATATGTAAGAATTTTTGAACTTGCTCATGTGAATCATTTTTACCAAGAGTTTCTGTGTTACAACCTGCTCTTTTCCAGCCCTATTTTGAATGCAATGTTACTCAGGTTTACAACATATTTTAATCCTACAATTAACTTAAATGCCAATGGGCTACATAGGAAAGAAAGATCAGATTCTTCTGCTTCACTTATCTGAAAATCTATCCAGAAGTCTGTGCCAATGTTTGGTCAGATGTCAGCATTTAAATGGAGGAGAGAGTTTTACTAAAAATTGCCGACATGTCGATTTCGGGGGAGTTTCGGGAAGGGTTGGTGGCTGTGAGCTTTATCTCACACAAGTTTGCACTGCTCATCTCTTATGGATCATGCTAGCACTTTCATGCAATATCGACCATTGCTGGGATTTCTCATGGCAGAACTCTATTTAAAGCCCAGCTGTCACTTCATTATAAATACAAGGTCAGATTCATAAATGTATTGCCTCTTTGCAGCATCACCTGTCTGATAAACTGTCATTATAATTGCAGCTATAAGAATGAAGCTACACAGGTAAGGAAGAATTTAAAAGGAATACAAGCCCGCTTTTCCCATTGACCCCATTATTTATATAGTGCAATTTTCTATAATGTGATGTTGCGCTAGAATGCAACTATCGCGTTAAAGCAGAACCCCCTGTAGTTTAGTCCACAGCTTTATGAACGCTGGTAAAGTTTCCAATTCGTAGTCAATTCTACCCAAAAATTAATCAGATGGGACCTGACCAGTGTCATATACATAAACAACATTGGCTTTTTTGATTAATACTCTTTAAAAACTCTTGCTAATCTTATTTACTTTACTTACATAGCCTAACAAAGATTAACCAATTTTACACACAATAAGCCCTTGACCTTTGCTGAATTACTCTTTGAATTGTTTATTCTTTGAATTATTTGCTTCTTCACTTCCATTCTCAAGCTGCGCAGTGAAATTTAACTCCACCCAATGACCAACCATCTCCAAGATCCAAAATGTGGTCTCTGTTATTCATATGCACTATCTTCTATTTATGTAGTGTGCGCAAATTTGAAAATGTTGCAAATAATGTCCTGTTTTAAGCCAATAACCTACCCAACAACATCCTTTGCTTCATTTTACCAATTAACTGCCAATGTGAAATCTATCTGCATATCCATCCACATAGCTACTGCATTTCTACTAACACGGATGCTGCATATTTCATCTTTTCCACCCAATCCCATCAAACTTTGTTGGAGTCCCAATACCATTATATTCTGAACCAACATGTTTGCACTATCACCGATTTCTATACCAGCATTTAAAAATGTATTTCTCAAAAGTGCTTTCATCCATGACAAATTAAAATTTGAAACATCTTACCTATAATGGTAAACATTTTACGAACAGCAGATGTAGTAAAATTGTGTTTTTTTATCAGGTAATCAGCAATGAACCCAGTAGTAATCATCACCATCCAACAGAAGAAATACGGTAGGGCAGACAAAAAGCCATTCTACATAAACAGAGTGATTAGCTATATTGCAGTACAAAATTCTGCACAAATTAAAGCATGAGCACAAGAATATAACAATAAATAATGTTCATCCATTGGCCATTGAAAATCTGCCCACTGATGGACTTTACCCCTAACAATCTTTGAGGGGAAACTATTTCTGTCAAACAAAAGTCTAGAATAGTTACTCAAATTACATTGCTCAACACAGACTGAATGTGCTATATAAATTGTTAATGTAGCAAAATGTTTCAAGGCACTTCATGAGTGTGTTAATTAAATTTGTCACTAAACTACAGAAGGAACTATGGGAATAGATGACTAAAAGCTTGGTCAAAATAGTAGATTTTAAGGAGTCCCTGAAAGGAGGTGAAAGGTGGAGAGTTTTAGGGAAGGAATTTAAGAGTTTGGAGCCCATTCAGCTGAAAACACAATTGTCAATGATCAAGGCAATTACGATTAGGGATATGCAAAAAATGGTGGAGCTCAAGGATCTCAAAGACTTTAGGTATAGAGAAAGTAAAGAGATGCTGAAGGGTGGGGGAAGCCAAGGAAGAATTTGAAAGCAGAGATGAGTATTTAACAAATAAAAACAGGCAATTGTCAAACTGGGAGCCAATGTAAGTCAGCTGGTACCAGGGTGATACATGAATTGGATTTGATGCAAGTATGAGCACAAGTTTACATAGAGATATTGTTCCATATCAGGTTGCACAAAGAATTATTTGGGTAGGTGTATAACCTAATTTTCAAGCATCAACTGCCTTTGCTCAGTAAGAGCTTGCTGATTGAGCAGGTGCATGTTTCAGTTCCATGATCAGTTAAATGGCTTATTACATTTCCAATAGGAGGCTAACCCCATTTAGGATCAAAGTCATTAAGTTTATTTCCCTTAAGTGCCCATCAAATTTAATTTTGAAATCACTGATCACCTCCAATTCCAGTACTTACATGGACAGAGTTCCAGATCACTACTGCTCAACTATATTATTACAAAGTTCTTTCTGTCATCCTCTGTATCTCTATCCCAAAGCTGCTGCTTTGTTCTTGTACCACCAACTAATGGGAATAGATGTTCCTCATCAACTTCACTTAAGCCTGTCATAAGCTTATGCACCGCTATCAGATCTCCTATCAATCTCTGTTGCTCCAAGAAGAACAATCTTGTAGCTAAAATCCTTATCCCTAGAACCATTCTGATAGATCTCCTCTACATCCTTTTGAGGACCATTGCATCCTTCCTAAAGTGTCACGACCAGAACTAGACGTGATCTTCTAGTTGTGGTCTAACCAGTGCTTTATAAAAGGTCCACCAAAGCCTCCCTGGTTTTGAATTCAATCCTATTAACAATGCCCAAAACCCCATAAACTTTGCTAACCGTCCCCTCAGTATATTCCATCACCTTCATAGATCTATGTATTTGAAAGCCCCTAGGTCTCTATAGTCTGTAGAATTATGCCATAAAGTATATACTGCCTCTCCCTAACCTGTCTGCCAAAATTCATCAGCTCACACTTCTCCATTTTTGCCGCCTGTTCCCATTCTGCCTAACAATACCCCTTGTAATTGATGGGTATTCTCACTGTTTACCACAACATAATCAGCAAATTTTACAATTGTACTCTGCATTCCAATATCCAAGTTGTGGACATCATATCTGTCATAAAAAAGAACTTAAAACGGATAACAAAAAGCTACCAGCTAGTGCAGATGCTGGAAATCAGAAACAAAACCTGAAATTGCTGGAAAAACAAGGCAGGTCTGCCACCATCTGTAGAGAGAAAACACATCAGATTCAATGGCCTTTCTGCTGAGTTTCTCCAGCAATTTCTGGTTTTGTTTCTTGAGAAGGATATTGCTTTCTAAATGTGAACTGCTTATAAAAAGGGCAGTTCTTTACCATTTATATTAATTACACACAGGATATTAAGATGTCATGGATAGGTACAGAATTCATAAGGAGGCTCATGTAATGCAAAACTTTATATCTAGAGTACTAGAACACAAGGGGATAGAAGTTAAACTAGTTATACAAAGTACTGGCTGTACCACAGCTAGTGTACTCAGTAGTTCTGGGCACCATACCTTAAGAGGAATATACTAGCCTTGGAGAAAGGGCACTATAAACTTTATCAGAATGATACCTAGACTTTAAGTCGGAGATCATTTTTTTTCCCTCTAGCTATATGTATTAAGGGATAGGTTTATAGGGTTAAGTCTTAGATTAACCCAGTTGAACAGGTCCTGGGGCTAAGAGCCTACTCACATTCTTATGTTCCTGTGTTTTGTCGATTGAATGCCCTGAGAAATCACTTGACTTTTAATATGTAAAATTATTCTGTATCTGCAGTGACATTTTGAATGTGGCAAAATCAAAACTTCCAAAATCATGATTATGACCAAATGAAACCTCATACAGAAGGGAAATTATGACATGGCCAACCAATGATAGGTAAAGGCATTCAAATAGGACCGGGTTAGTAGTCAACTGAGTCATTTTGTCTGTGTTATGATTATAGATGTGTGGATGATGGATAAAAACAAATTAGTCTTAGGTACAAAAAATGCCACATGCTTGGTAATGTTTCAGCATGAGCTCTTTGCTGTTACAGCCTATTCTTCTGATAATAAACCCGTAGGACTTTTTAAAAGTTATGTTTATGGTTTGTCTACATGGATATAGAGGTCTCTCTGCTCATCTGCACTTTTCAAAATCTTGCCATTTATAGTAGTATATTGTCTTCCCATATTAGTTCTCTGAAAGTGCAGCACATCACATTTAAGTCCATTTGTCATGCTTCTGCCCATTTCACCATCCCAAGATTTCCTGACACTTAGCGAAATAGTAGACAAGGATGAGGTTAGTTAAATTTCAAATCATTGGTAAACTTTTTTTTTTTTTTTACAGCTGCTCCCTTTGCCAAATCTAAATTGTTAAAAAAAACCTTTGCGTAAAGAAATTGCAGTTCACATGGCAGCATGCAAGTCAGATCCCAGACTGAAATCTGACTTGATCGATCATGTTTTGTGTTGTTTCTATTTAACAAGTGGTCTTTCACTAAAATAAAAATTAATTAAATAACAATTAATTAAATAATTAAACATAAGTTTATTATGCAAAAGCACAAAATAAAATAAACCCAAACTATTTACAGAGAACACAAATTGAAAAATTTTGAAACTCAGTAAAAATTCAATCCCATCCATCTCAACACTTTAAGATACTCAAAAACCAGACGGTTCTCTTCTCTACCATATCTAGAAGATCAACCTAACTGTTTCTTTCAGTTCCCAGTCTTGAGAGTTTGATAGCCACTTCCTTAAATAGTAACACAATTGAGCTTTGGTTTTCTCAGCTTCAAATAATTCTTTCACTTAAGAGTTCTAACCTAACTTCTGGTGTAGAATTTTCAAACTAAAATCCTTCCATTGAGGTAAGTTATTTTCTGGTAATTCTAAACTGTGCACTTTCTTCATGAGAATCTGTTTCATTCATCTAAGTTCTACCAGAATATATGCAAACTAAAATACATAAGTTTTCCAAGCTATGAGTCCACCCTCACCCCCACACCTACATATACAAGCATAAAAAATTCTGACCCTTCCAAACAGAAAGGAAATTCACGCTTCTCAATGTTTACTCCGTCCAATCCTAAGACTCACCCAATGCAAACAAATCCCTATCACCCCAGGACTTTTTCTGCTCAGCTCCAGAAATACTGACAAGATAAGGATTAAAACTTCTCATACATATAGACCAGATGTCACTAGTTCATGAGGAAGAATTTCTTCACTCAGAGTAGCGAATCTGTGGAATTCTCTATTACAGAGGGCTGTAGAAACTTTGTCATTAAGTGCTAAGATAGGCAAATTTCTAATCAGTAAATGATTCAAGGGTGTGGGTGAAAGGCAAAAAAGTGAAGTTTAGGATTATCAGTTCAGCCATGATCTCATTCATTCAGTGGCAAAGCAAACTCAATGGGCTGAATAGCATATTTCTGCTCTTATGGAGGTCAATTTGCAGAAGTAATTGATGACACTGAACTAAGGATAGTATATGGTGCAAATCCTGAAAATGTATGAGGGGGAATAGCTCCAGATTATAAGCTTCTAGTATTTGCCAGCTGGTGCTGGAATGATCATAGTTATATAAATAATATGAGCATTATTAGTGGCAGTGAAAGTGGTGATGATCAATATTTTTAGTGATAGCATCATTAAAAATAATTTTAGTGAAGCCACAATCTACAACATATTGCAATGCTTTTCAAAACAACTCAAAGAGACTGGAATACATTATTTAGCTCCAATTTGATTGATAACTTGGGAGGAAACAAAAAAGACGACATTCTAAATAAGATAGAATAATAATCTTTTCAGACTTACCTCTTTAATGTCAAATTGTAGAATTTCTTCCATGTATGTTGGCAGCAGTGTTAATAATGTGTAAAAAGTCCAGTTGTAGCAAAAATGAGGAACGATTATAGCCCAAAGTGGCAAAGATGTCCATAGAGATTTCCAGGGCACATCATTATTCAAAGAATGCTACAGAAATGAAATAAAACAAAACTGGAGAAGTTATTAAAATTGAAGGAGAAAACAACCCTAAAGACCAACACCAACACTAACAAAAAAAATGCTACAAGTAAATTAAACTGAATATTATTTTTGTTTATTGCCTTATGTTTTCCCATGAAATACATTTTGGTGTTAAGTTTAAACAATGTTGATTATTTTTAAACCTTATTTTGTATTTTTACGTAGAATTTTAAAACTACTCTTGAAGAACAATTGAACAGAAGTAACTTTCTCCAGTTCACGATAAGCACCGAAATCTCAGTTCAGTCTTACAGAGATTGTTCAACTAACAATTCAAGATAAAGTATTCTTTGGCTTGTCCACTTCACTCTTCAGGATCAATAGCTAACAAATTATTACCAAAGGAAGGAACATACCGTATTGAGGAAGGAAATGTAATTGGAAATGTAATTTGAATATCCCAGAAAATCACGCAGGTGTGTCCTGTCAACAAAAAGTCGATCAAGTCCATTTCAGTTGAATACTCCCAATAACCACCACGGAGCTGTAAGGAATTGTCTGCAGTGCTAACAAGCAGCACTCAACAATAACCTGCTCACCTTTGTCAAGTTTAGGTCTTGCAGGCACTACTGCGTTTCAGACTCCATTATAAACAAAATAGCTGAATTCCATAGCCACTACCCTGGTCATCAAAACTGACATAAAGGAAGATAATTGTGGTTGTTGGAGGCTAATAATCTCAGGTCCAGTAATTCAATGCAGGGTTTCTCAGGGCAGCATCTCTGTCTGAACAGTCTTCAGCTGCTTTGCCTTACCTCCATCATAAGGTCAGAGTAAGATGATTAAAGAATTTGATAAGGCATGTAACATAAGCAGTTTTCTCTGGTCAATTAATCCAGAATAATGTTAAAATCAGAGCTAAAATGTTCAGAGAGCTATTTTCTGATGATCTCAGGTTAGTGAAAATGTCCAATCCAAAAGTCTGTGGATGCTGACTCAACTGAAACTTAAGACGGAAAATAATAGATTTTTGTTCGGAAGTACTTCAATCAACAATTCTTGTGACTTCCCACATCCTACCTGGCCACGAAGTGAAGCAACTATATACATTTTCTCAGTCTGGGATATAGTTTTGTGGGTTTCTGGTGAGTCACTAGCCATCATGAACCATAACAGGCACCAGGCCACTCCAAATGCACCTGATTTAAAAAAAAGCTATTAGAATGTAAAACGCAGTGATTTATACAGCAAAATGATTCATAATCTTTTAATATCTTAAAATTCTTACAAATTGGTATGCATAGTTGTGTGTCTTCTTTCAATATATTCATATTTATAACAAAAATTGCTAGTGGCCTGGGTTACGCAGTGGCCGTGACACTAAAATTATCAGTGTCCATTGTGACTTCTTCAACAGTCAACAAAATTACAGATTAATGCGGAAACTAAAAGTTCCTGTAAATTATTGCACTCTTCCCTAGAGGGTATGCTGTTGCAGCATCCCCACACTACAACAAAAGATTTTGTGAAATGCTAAGGATAGTTCACTCAAAACAGTTTAAGGATGATTGATGCGGAGTTCAAGGTTACAGTCAGTTGGACAGAGCAACAGGGTCAATACAAGCAGGATCAATACAAAAAAGTGCTGCTGTTAAGATGTGTTCCTGAGAAAGCTCTGTGTCAGTGGGACTCAGAGAAGTCGATTAGCTTTGTGCAGTCAGAGCCAGAGGAGTGCTGAAGGCAGGGTTCAGGAAAGTTCTGCAAGCTGTGAGGGGCTCTGAAGAAGTCTGTAATACTTCAGTACAGCTGGGGATGGGAAATGAAAAACCCACAAGCAATACTGCTTGGTACATTTGAGCAAGTGGAAAAGACATGGGGTAGTACAGGTTTAGTGAAGCTAGCAGTCTGTGAAAGGCTGGAGTTATGTCTAAGTGTAAGTGATACAGTATAGTTTCCAGAATCCAGGGCAGTGTAGACCCAGAAAAGTGAACTACTAGAACATGAGCTGTCACTGAGGTAATCCGTGACAGCGTTGTTTGAAGGAGTTCTGAAGCTACATCTTCTAAAGAGAGGAATTGGAATCCGTTGTACTGTCACTATTGTCTGTCTGTACATATGTATTGGTAAGAGGTGCTGAAAAATCTGTGCCATTTGTCTTAACTGCATTCGCTTTTGAAGTGCTGTGAGAGATGTTCTACCATAGTTTGTCTCTTACCCATATCAACCTCATCAATATTTTAAAAAAAAGTTTTTGATCAAAACAGTGGAATATTGTGTCTTTATTCTTTTAGTAAGTTCCTGGGATCTCACATGTATTTTAAAAAGTTACTGGTCTCTAGGCAAATTATTAACATAAATCTGGCAGTCTTCCAGTAAGATGGTGGCAGAGTAGGACCTCTGTGCCTCGGGCTCGACTGCTCTATCCAGTTTTCTTTTCATTTCTTCTATTTTTTCTCTCTTCTTTTTTTCCTCTTTTACCTTATATTGCTTATCTCTTGGTGAAGAGCTCAGTCACGGTGACAACATCAGCGAGTAGGCCTAGCAGCACAGACTTGTGACAGTGGGGGAGGCAACTTTGGGTTCCCGGCGGTTTCTCCAACATTGAGGTGGACCTAGTGCTAACTCATTGCTGCTGTGCGGAGGCAAGTTTGGGTCCTGGCTGTGTCTGCATCCAGCGCAGATTCATGGAGGTGGCCGTAGAGGCGGGTTTGGGCCCAGTATGAGACCCAGCGGTATCAGTGGCGTCTGCATTGGCGAGGTCCAGCGAAGGCATCAGCGGAGGCGAGATGGTGCCGAAGAGTGGCAACTTTCGTTCTAGCAGCAGCGGCCCAGCAAAGGCAACTCATACCTGGCCACCAGGCCCATGACAGAGCTCTTAACAAGAAGGATTGTAAAGTTGGACACTTTCTTTATTTGTTCATTTTCTGCCTTTATATTCTATATTTTGGTTTATTTTACTGTGTTTTAACATGGCGCCAGAGAGTGGCGACACTATACAACAATTTTCACTGTATTTTGTAAGAAGTGACATGTGACAATAAATAAATCAAATCAAATTAGTCTAACATATCCACAATTGAATCTAGTTCTATTTTTACGTAGCTTGCTACAATTCGAGATCCATGAAAGAATCATTGGTCCCTGATGCATTGGAGGCAACTCTAGATATGTTCAGGGTGAAATATAGTGAAAAACAACTTTGTAGCTAATGGAATTTTTTTTTCGCTGGTAGATCTCCAAAGCTATGAATAGGTAGGCCTCCACCATATAACAAATGATATAATAAGCATTTGCATAGAAAGACAAGAATTACAAATATGAGAATTTGTCACAAAGTATGACATTGTTTGCCTTAATGTTGTAGATGCAATTAAGAAAGTATTTTAATCAGACTGAAGGTCTGAAACCAACTGCAGAATTATATGTATCACGAAAGGACTTTCTACACATGGCCTTTCTCCTGTGAAAAATACTGCTCATCATTTTAGTTACATTTACTACAAACAAAGCACTTCAATCCATATTCTCAATAAAAAGCAGAGCCACATAATTACAGGTGTCAAGGTGTGTCAAGAGAATCTAAGTTTCCATCAAGGATTTAGATTATTGGGACTCTTGTTAGGACAAGAATAATAAATTCACTTTGAGTCACTGTACACCAACACAAAGATCAGGAGAGTCTGGAGTATAACTCCTGAAGCTGGCTGCTTCTGACATGAGCTGTAAAGGGATGTTATCATCAGTCTCAGCACAGGAGGAGGTCAAAAACAGTAGCAATGATTCCAGCTTCTGACTCCTATTGAAGGAGTCCTGCTGGACAACACACAATGAGATCAGCAAAAATAGCAACTGATGGATTAAATATTTATATGCAGAGTGCCTGTGTACTGATAACTGCACCAGCTTCCTTCACCCAAGATGACTATTAACAAATGAACAGGGAAAATAAAATATTTCCCAGGAAAGATTCCTTCCTGCTTCCACTCAAACTCCTAACTACACAGCAAACAGTAGCCGTATGAGATAGGCAGTGTAGAAGGGAAGCAAAAGAAGTAAAATATCAGAGAGGGAATACATTGCATGTTAGATGTTTTATAATGATACCATTAGAAAATCTTACCAAATGTATAGAATACATATGACCAATCCAAGTAATAGCAAATCATTCCAGACAATGGGAGGGAAACAACTGTTCCAAATTGTGCACCTAGGAAGTAATAAGACTCCAGATTTAGAAACCACTCCACTACTTGCCAACTATTCTGGGTACTAAATGGATACCCACATTCAAACTAGTATTCAGTTTCAATAGTTCATTTAAAACAGTCCATCAAACGTGAGTGAACGTCTACACCACAAGTCTCACTTTCACTTTATATGAATTGGACAGAATATTTCCCTACAATCAACAAATTTATTGCAAATAATAAAATAATGGAACTACAAAAATTCAAAATATTTTGTGTGTATACCCAGAATAAATACTGGCATAAAGAGGTTAAAACCAGACGCAGATAATTACATTTCCATTTAGAAACACATGCACCATGTGGAACATAATTGAACACTATGGATCAGACAATGAATGCAGCTTGACCCAAGAACTGACTGGGCAGAAAACAAAAAAGGAAACTCTGAAGGACAGTGTTTCACAATCAGGATCCCTTTTAAAATACAAACCATTGCAAAAAATAAATGTCAATAATTTCATGTTTTGAGATTTGTTTTTGTTTAAACGCCAAGTGTCTAGATTATCAGGATATTAGTTTAAAAAAGGTGAAAATCACCTTTTTAGGTGAAAAAATTCGAGTGAGTTGAATATGCAACTGACAATGACACTTTTAAAACAAAAATGATTACTAACGTTGACTCCATTTGCTCAGTCCCACCTTTAGTAGGTTCAACACAAGGTATAGCACAATAATTTTAAATGGAATGGGCAGCATGCTGCCTCAGTGGTTAGCACTGCTGTCACAGCAGCAAGGTCACAGGTTCGATTCCACCCTCGGGCAATGGTGTGTGGCTTTCCTCCGGGTGCTCCAGTTTCCTCCCACAGTCCAAAGATGTGCAGGTTAGGTGGATTGGCCATGCTAAATTGCCCATAGCGTCCAGAGACGTGCAGGCTAGATAGATTAACCATGGGAAATGCAGGGTTACGGGGGTACGTCTGGGTGGGATGCTCTTCAAAGGGTCAGTGTGGACTTGGTCGGATGAATGACCTGCTTCCACATTGTAGGGATTCTGTGATTCTATGAATGAACTCACCTGCATATGATAAACTGACGAGTGTACTCCGTTCTAGAGGGGGAGCCCATTTAGCCCACATTGCATGCATGGCAGGGAAGGTCACACCCTATTACATAATTAGAATAGACACAAGAAAATGTTTAACATTTTAAAATAACTAGTGACAGCCAAATTGAGAAAAAAAATCCACTACTTTAAACTCTACTCACTTGTCAACAATTCTATTCACATCCTTGGCAAGTCAGGCTGAACTAGACCATTCAAAACTTTGTCATTCTCTGAAACCAAACTATTACCCCCATCACAAAAACAGCTTTCTTCCGCTTCTACAGTATTGCTCATTGCTTCAACCCACCTGTTGCTGAAATATTTAGTGATGTCTTTCTTATTTCCAGAGTCAACAATTATAAATGCTTGCTATAATCTTTTATAGCAGTCCAAAGAACTCTGTTTTGCCTCTCCCACCCCACCATTCATGACAGTATCTTCATGTGTCTAATTCCCAAACCATTTCCTCCCTAAATCTCTCTGCTTCTCTCCGTTTAAGATTGACTTCTTTGAAGAAGCTTTATCACTTTTCTTTCTTTGACTTGGTTTTTTTTTATTTTTATATGGTCTTGAAGAATCTTAGGATGTTTTGCTAATCTTATTATATAGAGTTGTAGTTATAATCAAAAAGGACAGTGACCTAAACCTTTAATTATTATTTGTTTCTCCACAGATGCTGCCAGACTTAATTTCCAACATTTTCAGTTATTTTAAAAAGCAAAGGATTTTTTCTAAACATTGCATATTTACACATTTATATTAATATATCAAATGATATATTTCAATACTATATATCAATAACAATTTAGTAGGAATGTTGGAAAGTGACTTCTAAACATTAAAATCATTTATGAAACTTTTATAACAATAGTATTTCTAATGACGAAGGTTTATACTTTTCCAAAGCATTCTGATTAGAGAATTATTTCTGCAATTATAGATCCTCAAAGTTCCAACATTAGACAAATTCTATAGAAAGAGAAGTTCATTTGTCATTTCTTCATATGAAACCTTAACCAAACAGCAAATGAAAAAAAAATGTTAATTTACAAATCCAAAATTTGCACAGAACCAACAAAAAAAGGTCTTCAATCTAAAATGTTAGCTCTTTTTTGCAACCCACAGATGCAGCCTGACTGTCTCAGTTCTTTCAGCGTTTTTTGTTTATATTTCAGACATCCAGCATCTACACTATTTTGTTTTTTGGACATGGACAGTACTGAATCATCAAGGCTGTCCAAGGATATTAGCAGTAAGTATTCAAATAATTTCTATCATTCAAAAGAATACACTTTCTTGTAACATGTTACATCTTGGAACTTTCTTCCCTCCTCCATGAACTTATGTCAATATGACCTCATCGCCCGTCATATTTAATTTGCATGACAATGATTCATTATTGACAGCAGATATAGGAGGAGGTGGAAATTCAGTAAAGCTTAAATAACTGCAGAAAATTCAAAACCAACCATTCATCGTAATTTAAAAGCCATTTTTTAAAACAAAAACTCAAAAATTGTGCTAATTTCACTGTCTTCCTTCCTAATGAAGATCTATACTTCCTAGGAATCATGTAAGCCAAATAGTCAAAAATCAGTGAGTTACTAATGATTTATAACAGCAGACACATCTGAATGTTTCAATTAAGTAAAATGTTTAAACATTTGAAAAAAAAGCTTACACCATACCTCTCCCAGACCTTCAATAACCCTCAACACAATTACACAGTAAGCACTCAGTGATGCTGCTGGAGGAGTCAGGAGGGTCAAAACTGAAGTACCCAGTATGCCAAAGCCAAGTAACAGCTTCCCTCCGAATCGACCTGCCAGATATCCACCTGGTATCTGAGTAACGATGTAACCAAAGAAGAAAGCACTAAGAATCCATCCCTGTATGTCCGAATTCCACTTATATACCTTGCCCTGTTGGAAACAGTAAGAAAAATTTCCAGTAAAACGACTTGTCCTGCAAAATTGACCTTATTCATTTCAAAACACAGATAAAACGACTGGCCTAAGGATTTTGTTTAAGTGCACAGTATGTAAAACATTTAAACTTCTACAAATCAGTAATAAATTTAACGGTCTAACATCTAGTTAGTATACATATCACCTGGAAGGAATATTTCAACTGTCCAATTTCCATGGAACATGTACTTTTCTGTCCAGTCTTAGGATACGGTTAACACTGGCAAGACTACATTCATTACCAATCCAAGTTGTCCTGAGAAGGTAGGTGGACCTTCTTGAACCTTATGCTGATGGTGCCACCATATGGTTAGCTAGGGTATTCCAGAATACTTAGCCAGCAATAATGAAGGAAAAACATTAATATTCTCTTTTCAAGATACTGTGCAACATAACAGAAGAACTTAATCTTCCGTAACATTGCTAGTTTTTCTCTTCTTGTTGGGACAGGCCAGATGGGAGACAGCACCTGATTGGAGAAATCCAAGTTTGATTACCTGTTAGCACTGGATTGAGAAACTCTGGTGGGATTGAAACCTGTACTGCAAAGACTCTCTGAAGTGTATCGTCATTATACCTGGGCGATGTCACTTTACTGAACCAAAACAATGTTAGCTTTAAAATGAGTTATTTGGGATGCTTAAGTTTTGTATGGGATCAATGGAAAAGGCTTCAAACTCAATAAAATAGCCTCAAGGTATCTTGAAAATTTTTGCAAGTGTAAAATTCATCTCGAAAGAAGCTTTGAAATACAATTTTTGATAATAAACCTGTGACAGAGTACAGTAATCTACTATGAGTGAGAAATTCTTGATTCGTAATGCTGTGCCTTTGGATTTCTCCTGATAGGAAACAATTTTGGAGTGTTATTCTAACTTGTGAGACTTATTGCAGTCAAAGTAGTTTTGATGTAAGATACCCTTAACAAAATATACATACTATTCAAATTAATATTAAAGTACTTTCAATTTTCAAATCAAGTTGCAGCTTGCATATCACAGAATTGTTACAGTGCAGGAGCAAGCCATTGCATCTGCACCAGTTCTCTCAGCATTTTAACTTAATGCCATTCTCATGATTTTTCTCCATAACTCTGCACATTGCTTCTATTTTGAAAATTTGATGATTTTTGAAAACTTGTTAATTTTTTTCTTATCTATCTCTACTCCAAAAATATACAGTCCCAAATTCTTCAGTCTTTCCTCTTAACTAAATCGTCTCATCCCTGGAACCATTCTCCAATGCATTCACACCCTTCCCAAGTATGCCATCATGTGGTTAGTTAGGGTATTCTACAATATTGATCCAACAATAATGAAGGAAAACACATTAATGTGCAACTTAACAGAAGAACTTAGTCTTCCTGTAACATTGCTAGTTTTTCTCTTCTTGGTGGGAAAGGCCAGATCCATGTTACTACCTGTCCCTTTTATTCCATGACCTATAAACTTTCCTGACAAGACTGTTGTGTGGCATTGTATCAAGTGCCTTTTGGAAGTAATGTACACCATATAAACAGGCTTGCCTCATCAATCCTCCATATTGCCTTTTCAAAAAACTCCAGCACTTCAGTTAGACTCAATTTTCCCTAAACAAGTCCATGCAGACTTTTCCAAATCAATTCACATTTTTCCATGTGACTATTAAATTCTATCCCAAATAATTTTTTCTAGAAATTTCCCTACCACTGAAGTTAAACTGACTAGCCATCCAGCCTGCATCTATAAATCTTATCACCTGCTCTAAATATGAAATCAAATAGCCACAAGACACTCCTGTAAGTATATCAGTCCCAAAACTGGTTTGACTGCCAGAGCTACTTAAAACTGAATGACTCTCGTGTTTATTGGGTGACTAACTAATACAGTGTAGGCACCTCTTCTCCCTGATTTCTCACTGAAATTCTTGAACTCCCTCAAATGATTCTCCGCTGATTCTCTCCATCTCTCAAGGTGAATGATTGAACTGTACTGTTTTTTAAAAATTATTTAATGGAATGTGGTTGTTAAGCCCAGCATGTATCGCTTATCCCAAACTGCTGTCAAGGTGGTACTGGTGACAACTGAGTGCTTACTAGGTCATCTCAAACATCAACTAGCCCACAGCAGTCATGATTGTTATGTACGAAAGGTGAAAATAACAAAAAATACATCTTCTCCTTTCATTAAGTATTTCTACTTTGAAATGTTTGTTAAACATACTTAGCTGGAGAAGGAGATGATATTTTAGTTTCCATACTGTCGTTTCAGTTTCTTTTCAGTTAGTGGATTGCTGAACACACTACCTGCTCTACATCTCTGCTTTTGTTCTTGGGGCCTGGCCACAGAATATTCAGACCTTGACCTGAAAAATCACCTCTCAGCTAAAAAAAACAAGCAGTATAAATGTTTGAAGAGTAAAATAGCCTGTTAGTAAAAAGAGGAAGGCAGATTATTATCTGAATGACAATAGATTAGAAAAGGGGGAGATGCACAAGACCTGGGTGTCCTTGTACACCAGCTGCTGAAAGGAAGCATGTAGGTGCAGCTGGCGGTGAAGAAGGCAGATAGTATGTTGGCCTTCATAGTGAGAAGATTTGAGTACGGAGCAGGGATATCTTGCACTTATTCGGGGCCTTGGTGAAACCTCACCTGAAGCATTGTGCGGGATTTTGGGCTCCTTATCTGTTCTGACTATGGAGGGGGTGGAAAATAGGTTTACCAGACTGATGCCTGGGATGACTGACATAGGAAGACAGACTGGATGAGGGAAGATCTCATAGAAAAATATAAAATTCCAACAGGACTAGACAGGTAAATGCAGGAAGGGTGTTCCCAATGATCAGGGAGTCCAGAACAAGCGATTACAGTTTAAAGATATGGGGTAAACCATTGAGGACTGAGATGAGAAGGAATTTCTTCACCCAGAGAGTGATGAGCCTGTGCAATTCTCTGCCAGAAAAAGCTGTTAAGAGCAAAACATTGAATGTTCTCAAGGTGGAGTTAGATGTAATTTTTAGGACCAGCGCGACCCAAGGATACGTAGAGAAAATGGGAACAGGATACGACTGAGTTGGATGTTCAGTCATAATCATACTGAATGGCAGAGCAGGTTTGAAGGGAGAAATAGCCTATGTTTCTAATATCCAACTTTGCAATGATCACCTACAGGGGCTTATAGAACCCCTTCCACAACCGGTATTCCCACCCTGTTGTAATCTCCAACAGCAACCTCCAATTTTCCCAACTCTGTTCCCAATCCTCTCCAATTGCATCTTCCTACCACTGGAACCATACGGCACAAGTGGGATCATCGTGAGGATACCTGCGCTAAACTCCCAAAATTATAATAACCACTAACTAAATGATCAAATTCTAGGCACTGTCTCACATTTCAAATAAACTAAACAAACAGTCAGTCAGTTGCATTAAGATTAGGACCTAGTGTCACTTCGACTTGGGCATCGACCTTATAATCCTATTTATTAACTAAATTATTAACAGAACTGAATTATGGCTAAATGCTACAAGTACAGCAGATCCCATCTGAAATCACTGGTGCTATTTTATAAAGCACTAGTTGTTTTGTACTACAGACTTCACTCAGTACTTAGTTATATTCTGTCAGGAGTCAAAGCATTAAGTGGAAATCATTAATAGCAGCCCAGCCCAACAGTCGAAATACTTTTGAATAATTGTACACAGGCAGTCATTTCAATGCTACTGTTAAGGTTCTTCTCTCTGACCAACAATATAACTGAAGGGAATTCAGAACACCAGTATCTTAAATTGTACATTGCATTAGTCACCAGGAATGCCAAATTAATAATGTGGCCATGGACACCTACATAATGGCAGCAGGTTTGAGCAATAGCTCATGTCCATACAAATTGTGAAACATTAGATATACAAAAATAAAGTTAACTAAATCCACATTCTGTAAAAAACAACTGTGCTGAAAGGTTTGTATATTTACTACCTTTCACCAATACTGATTTAGTATCTCATCTGGATACATAAATTAGAGATAGTTTATCTTACCTTTTTCACATAACTTTGATGAGTAGAATTGGAATGAGGTGGACACGCCTCAACACTCCCATTCTTCAACAATGTTGCATTATCATCCAACATCTCGACCATCGCTACACTAAGATTCACACGTAGTGCGTACACAACAAAAAATCCCCAAAAGGCCAAAATCGCCAAATTGCATCGAGTTGAGCAGCATGCTGAAACTGAAGGGAATATTGAGAACGGAATATATAAATCCTTTATTCATTCATTAATTTACGGGATGAGGGCATCGCTGGCCAGGCAGCATTTATTGTCTATTCCTAACTGCCCAGAGGGCAGTTAAGAGTCAACCACATTGCTCTGGGTCTGGAGTCACATGTAGGCCAGACCAGGTAAGGATGGCAGTTTCCTTCCCTAAAGAACATTAGTGAACCAGATGGGTTTTTCCAACTATCGACAATGGATTCACAGTCATCATTAGATTCTTAATTCCAGACATTTATTGAAATCAAATTCCACCATCTGCCATGCCAGGATTCAAACCCACGTCCCCAGAAAACTATCTGGGTCTCTGGATTAACAGTCCAGCGATAATACCACTAGGCCTTCGCCTCCCCAAATCTAACATGACATCCCATCTCAAATTTAATAATGAAGCTAGAGATTTAGGCAGAGATTTGAAATAGTGGCATATTTCCATAGAACAACAGTGTTGAAAAACAAATTAATCCTCTTCTACTTCCTCTGTTAACCTTTAAAAGGCTTTTTATTCTGAATGCTTTTCTAACCCCTTCAGTCCCTTTTTCTATAATATAAACTATTAAAGACACACTGCTGCCATTCACAGCAGCTCACCCTCCTGAAAGATTTAAAAAACGGGTTAGAATTAAAAGCAGCAACCCCAGACTGAACACTGATACTTTGGAGACTAGGGCAAAGTTTCATAGCTGTAAAGCGAGTCTTTCAGAATCAGCCATTCTAACTCTAGCAACTTTAACAGTGAAGCTGGTTTTGCCCACCAACAAATTATTGCTTTCAATAGATGAAAAAAATCAAATGCACTGCAATTTCTTCATTCAAATCCTGTCTTGAAACTTATACGAAGACAGAAGCCAAGGGTGATTTGTCTAACAAAACATTTAACAATATGAAAAACCATGGCGGCAAAACTCTCGCACAATGAGATAATTTGTCATTGAGGTCGATCATAGATTTATTAAGGATGATTTGTTAAGATCTAATTAAGCATAATCAGAAAACTTAAAACAAAGACTGTGAGCATTTAATTTAAACATTAGTGATTCAGAGACATTAAAGTTCAGAGCTCAACATTTTAGAATTATATGATTTCAAGTACTCATTACAAACTGCCACCATTTATAAATTTGCTACAATCCACCAATTCAATTTACTAATTAAATGAGTCCTCTATCAATAACTAAGAAAGAAAATGTATTAACTAACAAGGTTCTGTATCAAAAACCAAAAGAACTGCGGATGCCGTAAATCAGGAACAAAAACAAAGTTGCTGGAAAAGCTCAGCAAGTCTGGCAGCATCTGTGGAGGAGAAAACAGAGTTAACGTTTCGGGTCCGGTGATCCTTCCTCAGAACAGGTTCTGTATTATTGGGCTGAGATAGGTATAACTCCCTCATATTACAAATAATTGCTATTTCACCAGCTAAAACTTTTAATTAAAGTTATTTATTCTGTAGCATTTAGCTTTCATAAATCCCCCGATTTTACATAAGCCAAATTGAAGATAGCAAGACAAGTTTCAAGAAAGACATAATGAATCTTTGACTTTGTACTGCAAGAGAATATGTACAGAAGAACATTATGTCAAGCTTTGAAACATCAGATGGAACAAATGTGGAAAAGTATTCAATTTTGAGCACCAGATTGGATGGATGTCAAAACCTGGGAAATGCAATGGAGACTGAATGGAATGGTGCCAGGGATGGGGGGTACTTAGTCATAGAACAACATAAGACAGTACAGCATAGCAACAGGCCCTTTGGCCCACCAGGTTTGTGCCGACCATGACATTCTAAACTAATCCCACCTGTTTGCACATGCTTATATGGAGAGATTGGAAAAATTGGGGTCATTTCCATCAGTCAAACATTGAGAGATTAAATAAGTGTTTTTAAAAATCATTTTGATCGAGCAGTCAGGGAGAAACTGTTTCCATTGACAGATGGATCAGTAAGCAAAAAAAACATTCAAAGGCAGATGGCAAAAGAACCAAGTGAACGCAAGGATTTCTTTTAAAAATCCAGACTCATTATAAACTGGAATGCTTGAATGAGGAGTGGGAAATAGAGTCAACTTTCAAAAGGAAACTGAATAAATACTAGATGTCTTCATTTAAAGTTGTGATTGCATTCATGAACTTTACGACTTTTAGTGAAATGCCTTTCAGTGAACACTGACATTAGAAATCTTCGTTCAAGCCAGAGTTAGGTTCCTGAGAGCACATTTTGCCCAAAAATCAACGTAAAATTGGGGCAGCATGGTGGCTCAGTGGTCAGCGCTGCTGCCTCACAGCACCAGGGACCTAGGTTCGATTCCACAATTGGGCAAACTGCCTGTGGAGTTTGCACATTTTTCCCATGTCTCAATGGGTTTCCTCCCAGTGCTCCGGTTTCCTCCCAAAGCCCAACGATGTGCAGTTTAGGTGGGTCGGCCATGTTAAATTGTCCATTGTGTCCAGGGATGTGTCAGCTAGGTGGGTTAGGCATGCGAATTATAAGAACAGGGTGGGTCTGGGTCGGATGCTGTTTGAAGGATCAGTGTGTACTTGATAGGCCGAATGGCCTGTTTCCACACTGTAGAGATTATGTACATATAAAACGTTACATACAGTCCCATACACGTGCAGCCCTGCATTCCCAGTTTAAATAATTTGTAATACAAAACAATGAGAGGTTCAAAAAAGAACATGGGCTTCTTGCTTGCAGTAAATATCCCTACAGGTGTCATAGAGATTTAAGGTTAGGGCCAGAGGGAATATGAGGAGAAATGTTTTCACTTAGACAGTAATGGTAATTTAGAACTCTCTGCCTGTAAAGTAGTTTGAAGCAAAAACCCTCAAAAAGAATAAGTGCTGGAAAATGGCATTAGAATAGTTAGAGGATTGTTTTTGACCCAAGTGGCCACAGTGGGCCGAAGAGCCTTTTATTTGCTGTAAACTTCCACTACTCTATGAGCAGTGAATTCCCTGAAGAAAAAGTTCACAACAGTTCTTCTCCAAATATAGATACAAGCAACAGAGAAATGTAAAAGAAAATTAAAAACCAAGTTTACGTCAGCACCTGAGCAGGGAACTTTGAACAGACTCGTCCAGTGCAGGGCACAGACACAAAGGAGATAAATCTAACAGCACAGACAGTGCTGATGGAGAAATAAAACAACGATGCGAGAGGAGATCAGGAAGTAAAGGGTGTTAAAACGGGGACTGGCACTTTTAATGACGAGAGGGGGCATCTGGATTAAAGAAAAACATTTTGAAAGGTGTCATCGTTCTGGGCATGAGAAAAAGGGGCTGGGATTATTCTTCCGAAGAGCCAGCACAGCTAGGACAGGCCGAGCAGACATTTCACCTTTGTTTTAAAATGACTATACTGCATTAAGTGACAAAACAGTTGCAAGTCTTTCCGGGGGCGGCGGGGAAAAGGAGACAAGTTCTGCGGAAGGGTCACCGGGCCCGAAACGTTAACTCTGTTTTCTCCTCCACAGATGCTGCCAGACCTGCTGAGCTTTTCCAGCAACTTTGTTTTTGTTCCTGATTTACAGCATCCGCAGTTCTTTTGGGTTTTTTTTTAACAGGAGACAAGGTGTTTTGCGGCCGGAAATGGCAAATACTGCCCTCCGAGAGTCTCCAACAACCCGCTACCTCTCTCTCTCTCTCTCTCTCTCACTCACTCACACACACACACACACACACACACACACACACACACCTCTCCTCCGCTCTCCGTCAAGGAGCGGCTGAATATCCTCATCCCCGGAATCCTCCATCTCCCAGCCGCCGGCAGCAGCTCCCTTCAGCACCCGGATCACCTCCTCCGGCCCTGGGTCCGGCCTTCCCGTCACGCGCACGTCTCCATGGCTCCCGCCGCGTGCTCGCGCCCGTGTGGGAGGGGGGACGTGCCCGCGCACGAAGGAACACGAGCCTGGTCTCAGCAATCACTGTCAGTGAGAGAGAGCACTGGGCTCAGTTAGACTGGAATCGTAACCGCATTATCTGTCATCTTCCTGCCTGTCCACTCGACTTTCTCTTTATTCATTGGGATGGATGGATGGATGGATGGATGGGCGGGCGGGGGGTCTAATAGCCCAGAAAACGCAGCTAATAGCCAAGCAAAAGAAAAACAAAATACCGCAGGGAGGCTGGAAATCGGAAACTCTGGTAGCCTCCGTGGAAACTAGAAACAGAATCCACTATGTGACCACGTAGCGGGATGCAGAGTGAACGGAGTTTGTCACTTCGACGCTAAGGTTATGTCTTTGCTGTTCCCAAAGTTAATTGGAGGAAACTGAAGCACCCCCGGAACTCAATATTGAGCAACTTGGTTTACAATGTAGGCAGGGTCATGATAAATAGCGGTAGGGTAGATTCTGGTGCTATTACAATCACATATTTAGGAAATTTGAGGCTGTGGTTGTAGACTTGCTCGCCGAGCTATTGTGTTTGGTTGCAGACGTTTCGTCACCCTGCTGGTTAACATGGTCAGTGCACCTCCGGTGAAGTGGTGGTGTTGTGACGCGCTTGTTATTTATACGAGATAACAAGGTGTCGAGGTAGATGTACACAGCAAGTCAGGCCCTTTTCGGGGTCCAGACCGAAACGTCAGCTTTCTTGTTCCTCTGATGCTGCCTGGCTTGCTGTGTTCAGCATCAGAGGAGCAAGAGAGGGTCTGGCTTGCTGTGTTAATGCAGCTCTACACCTTGTTATCTCAGATTCGAGCATCGGCAGTTCCTACTATCTCTGAGTATGTTATTTATATGCCTCGGTTTGCTGGGGTGGTTGGCATCACTTCTGGTTCTGTTTTTCACGGGTTTGGATATTGCGTCCAATTCAATGTGTTTGTTGATGCAGTTCCGGTTGGAATACCAGGCCTCCAGGAATTCCCTGGTATGTCTCTGTTTGGCTTGTGCTATTATGGATGTGTTGTCCCAGTCAAATTTGTGTCCTTCTTTGTCCGTGTGTATTGAGACTAGTGAGAATTGGTCATGTCTCTTGGTGGCTGGTTGGTGTTAGCGTATCCTTATTGTCAATTTTCTTCCAGTTCATGGTCTACAGGATAGTTGTAGTGTTACCAGCACTCCTGTATGTGTTACAGACATGGACTTGTACAAGCTACATCTCAAAACCCTTCAGAAATATCATCAATAATAGTACTCCTATTTTCAGTGTCCTCTCTCAGGCCACTATCCCCAATATCAAGAAACCGGTTACAGTCAGTCAATCAGCTGCCGTAATTGGGCACATCTCCACATCCTGACTCAAGACTTCCAAAACAAGATCTCTGTTCTGAGCTTCATGTATTGGTGATGGTCTTTGGAAATCCCAATCTCTCTTCTCTCTTGTACTTTCCCTCAGGGCAAAGGACTACTTTCTTTCACTCCAATATTGTGGGTCCTAAGTTGACTAAATAGCCTAGCACTGTATCCACAAACTGTACCACAGGTGGGGCACATGGCCTTTGCTGAAGCAGGCGTGTGCAAATTCTTGGGTTTTTGCATTTTGTTTGGACTTGCCTCCACGTTGGCCTGTCAGGGACGCTCAAGGTAGATGGCACCTTCAAGTATGCTTCTCCAGTTTAGGCGTTTTGGTCAAAGATACACCCACATGTTGGTAGAAAGGTTACATTTTTTTCAAGAAGGCTTTGAGGACACCTTTGAAGTCTTTTCTCTGCCCTGCTGGTAACATCATACTATCTCTTTGGTGCTATATTTTATTTCATGTATTGTGAAATCATTAGAAGAGGTAGAGTGGGATTGGAGAAAGACTTCCTTCAAAAATTCTTACAATTTTGCTTCATTTGTGGCTAATGTAACATTCACCTAAAATGGTGCTGGCAAATGTCCTATCAAATAATTTCAGTGGGACTGTAATGACATTATCAAATTGATGTCAGAGTGCCTGACCAAAATTATAATACCAATGCAGAATGAAAAATTGTATAAGTGGTTCTCCTTTTCTTCAGCTGCCGCTGTTGGAATGCAACCACCCCAGATATCCCACATGGGAGACAACCAGGCATCAGTACAAATTTTAGGGACACCACCTCTTTAAGAAAAAAAGCACTTCCTATTCATTTCTTCTTAAACTCTCACACTTTGATCACCCTGTCCCATATTTTCTTCCCATCCCGACCCTCATAGCTCTGCCTTCTACACATTATCCCATGTCATTCTTTTACAACCCTTAATATTGACTTGTATCCATTTCCATTCTTCAGTATCAGGAAAGCCAAGTTGTACATAAGTAACCCGGTTAAGCAACCTGATAAAATTTGATCTTCACTGTATGGTAGCAATATGGTGGAGTGGGGGATAAATTGTAGAACCTACGCAGTTTTATTTCAATTGTTTCACCTTTGCCCTTTGTCTGAATGTGTTATGTGCAGTGTGCAGCTACATGGTGTAAGCAGGTTGCAAGTTTGCTATATTGAAATAGGACGCAGATAGATGTGCATCCTACCAGAAATGTTGAACAGCAGAAGAAAAGCGTGTCAGTGCATTTTGGAAACATTTGAATAGTTGGCAGATGACCCTGTTTGAAGAAATACAAGCTTTGTGAACTGCTAATATCATTCCATATGCTGGTTGCATTCACTACTTTTTTTTAGAAAAAGATAATAAATCAATAGCAGCACTTACTTGGTGACATTTTTGAAACCAGAAATTGCTTTACAGGTTCTTGGATTAACAGAGCATTGACCTTTTCTGGCACTTCCATCGATACAATTCTGACAATACTCTTTCAGAAGACAAACCTTACTTTTCAAAAGGGTTAGAGATAGAAAGAACTGCCAATGCTGCAGTCAGAGATAACACAGTGTGGAGCTGGAGGAACACAGCAGGCCAGGCAGCATCAGAAGAGCAAGAAAGCTGTCGTTCCAGGTCCGGACCCTTATTCAGAAATGGGGGAGGGGGAAGGGAGATCTGAAATAAATAGAGAGTGGAGGGGTGGGGCTGGGGAAGGTAGGTGGGATGGTGATAGGTGAGTGCAGGTAGGGAGTGGTGGGGATTGGTCAATGAAGTGGGAGGAGCGGATAGGTGGGAGAGAAGATGGACAGGTTGTGTCAGGTCAAGGAGGCGGAGATGAGAGGGAGGATTGGTCATGGATGAGACCAGGGATGGGGAGATCTTGAAACTGGTAAAATCCACATTTAGGCCATTAGGCTGTAGGCTCCCCAGGCGGAATATGTGGTGCTGTTCCTCCAGTTTCTGGGTGGCATCATTGTGACACTGGAGGAGGCCCAGGATGGACATGTCACCATGAGAGGGGGAGTTGAAATGGTTCATAACCGGAAGTTGCTGTCATTTATTGTGAACTGAGCGCTGGTGCTCTACAAAGCGGTCTCCCAGCCTCCACTTGGTCTCACCCATGTAGAGGAGGCCACATCAGGAGCAGCGGATGGAGTAGACCACATTGACGGATGTGCAGGTGAACCTCTGTCTGATGTGAAAGGTTTGTTTGGTGCCTTGGATGGAGGTGAGGGGGGAGGTGTGGCACTTTCTGCAGTTGCAGGGAAAGGTGCCGGGGGTGGTGGGACTAGTGGGGAGTGTGGAGAGGATGAGGGAGTCACGGAGAGAGCAGTCCCTCTGGAAGGCAGATTGGGGTGGGGAGGGAAATATATCTTTATTTGTGGGGTCAGATTATAGGTTGCGGAAGTGGCAGAGAATGATACGTTGGATGTGGATGTTGGTGGGGTGATATGTGAGGACGAGGGGGATTCTGTCTTTATTTTTTGAGGGAGTGGGTTTGAGGGCAGAGGTGCGGGAAATGCAAGAGACGTGGTTGAGGGCATTTTCGATCACCAGAGTGGGGATGTTACAGTCCTTGAAGTAGGAGGACATCTGGGATTTCAAGGACCTCCTACAGAACTCTGGTGTATGGTCCATCAGGTCCGGGTGATTTATCCACCTGCAAACCTTTCAGTTTCCCCAGTATCTTCTCCTTAGTGATGACCACCACACTCACCTCTGCCCCCAACTCTTGAAATTCTAGTATGCTGCTGGTGTCTTCCACCATGAAGACTTCAGTTCACTCTCCCACAGCCTTTTCTGTTCCAAAAAAAAAACAGCCTAGCCTATCCAATGTTTCCTCATAGCTATCATTCTTCAGCCCAGGCAACAGCTTTCTCAGTATCTCTGGACTGCAGTCTTTTGTTTTAATTTTCTAGTCAGACACACACAAAAAGAATGTAAAATTAAAATCATTTCACAATAATTTGAATTTAAAGGCACCTGCAGCCACAAAACAGAGAACACATTTAATCCAGACAAAAATCAATAGAATACCAACCATTTTAATCCCGACATACCATGAAGAGTTGGTATTCTCACCATATCTTCACCTGTACTGGTAAATCTTTACATTGTGATGGTAGCAATCAGCAACAGCTAAATACCCTTCCTGCATCAGACACAATCCACAGGGTCCTTGAAGATCTTGCTTCACGACTGTTGCAGAGAGAGATAGATCTGGATTAAACATCACCACGCAGTTTTGTTCTTTATCAGCAACAAGAATATTTCCATTTTCATCCACGCATATTCCAGAAGGATTAATGAATTTTAATTTACTTCCGTATATCGGTCCAATTTTCTTTTGGATGCTGTCTTTGCCATTAATTTTTATGCATCTCCCCTCATATGGTCCAAACAGTTGCCCTTCAGTAACTAGGACATCTTCATTCTGGTAAAGAAATAAGCATCACAGCATTTGTCAAAATATGATATGTTTATTTTAAAGAGACAAAGAGAGTAATCATGGGAAAACGAGTTACCTTTAAATAGCAAAAAAAAAGTCCCAATATTATTCCAAAGCAAAATTCTGCTGATACAATAATCCAGAGCTGGTCAAGCAGCATCTGTGGGGAGAGAAACAA